TACCATATCGGTAGCCACAAGGTCAAGCCCCAATACACAGCCAAGCCATCAGTGCAGACAACTATAGGGGAGGGCTCCTGGGTGATCACAAGCTGTACTGCCTGCAACTAGGCCCATTGGCTGCTCTTCCCCTCTCCATCCTCCATCCACATTGTCTCAGTCTTATGTTGGAAAACCACAGCCCTTCACTTCAGGGACTGTCCATGACTGGAGCCATCTGTATTATACCAAGCATCTTCGGGTATAGGGGCTTTTCTTTCTTGATAAGGACTCTCGGCTACCAATGGCTCAAAAGCAAGTTCTTTCTGCTTTCCACTATAATAGGTCACTGGCCCTAATAAGTGTTGGAGTTCTCCACATAAGGAGCTAGCTAGTAGAGAGGGTACTATGCTGCTGTAAATATGCACCCCATTGGGCCAATGTAGGCATCTATGCCACACCACTCCATTGCATTTTAGTCTCGCACCCACCCAGCAATGGGATAGGTAGTTATTGCCTTGGTCAGAGCTGTTCCGGCAATGGGCTCCATAGCCAGCAAGGTGTGGTACACAGCAGTCACTTGATTCTCTATCAAGGTGCACTGGACCTCTGCTCCTTTCCACAGTTGTGACCAGAATCTGATAGGTTGGTGTGTCCATTCAAGCTGCTGCCAAAAACCCCAACCATAACCATCTTGGGTTACATGAACATCTAGCTCACAGGGCCTTGGTGAATCCATTATACTCAAGGCCTGGATGGTCTTGAATGCCCGCTTGGCAGCAGTAAAAGCAGCTACACATGTCTCATCCCAGTCCCACCTGCTGCACTTTCCTGCCAACCAGTAAAAGGGCTTCAGAATTTGTGCCAAGTGCGGGATAAACACTCTCCAGTAGCCCAAAAGACCCAAAAAGTCTTGTAAGACTGCCACAGTGGTAGGGGTGGGGAAAGTTTGGCCCTCATCTATGATTGCTTCAGGAATAACTTTAGTTTTAGCCAACCAGACAACCCTCAAGAATTTTACAGACAAACCAGATCCCTGAGCTGTGGTGCTGTTCACAGCCCATCCTTTCTCTTGTAGATGTTGCAGCAGTCTAGGAACTGCCCCTTCTAAATCTGAAAAAGAATCAAACGTGAGCATAATAACATCAATGTAGTGATACAACCACACCATTTGCAGTTTCTTCCATGTGGCCAAGTCCTCGGCCACAAGTATGTGACAGATGTTGGAACTGTGGAGGTATCCCCGTGGAAGGACAGTGAATGTCCCCTGCCAGCCTTCCCATATGAAGGCAAACTGTTCCTGGCTTTCCTGTGCTATGTCAATAGAAAAGAAAGCATTATTAGCAAGGTCTACAACATAATGATATGTTCCCAGCTCCTGGCTGAGGGTGTCCACAATGGCTAATATAGAGGGGACAGCAGCATGCAAAGGGGGTGTGACTTTATTCAGTTTTCTGTAGTCCACAGTCATACTCCAGGAGCCATCTGGCTTTTTCACTGGCCACACTGGGGAATTAAAAGGACTATGAGTGGGCTTTATGATGCCCACCTTCTCCAACTCCTGTAGAGTTTCTCCAATTTCCTTATGCCCCCCAAGCAATTTATACTGCTTAGTATTTGTCACTCATCTGGGTACAGGCAGAGCTACAGGTGAGTGCTTAACATGTCCCCTCAGTGCCGCCTTTAACACATGTACCCTTAGTCTGAACTCACCTGCAGTGGTCTGTAACCACAGGCCCTGCAGGATATCTACCCCCAAAATATATTCAGGGATGGGAGGAATTACATTGTATACTCCTTTGGGGGTAAACGCCCTATCCCAAATGGGAATAGGGCTTTCTTCACTCTAATTGCCTCACCCCTATAGCCATCTATCACAGCAGGGGTCCCAGAAAAACTAACAGGGTTGCCATAAATCAGAGAACATTCAGCTCCTATGTCCACCAGTGCCAGGGCACACTATATTCACAGGGGACCAATGAATTGCTAACTCTACATGTGGCCTCTCATCCCTACCATGTCCCCCAAGGTGGGGACCTTGACCCACCCCATCAAACCACAATGCCCGATTGTCCTCCTGTGGGGGTGAGGGCCCAGGCAGAGTCTGTGTATTGTCTCCCAGGAAGTCTTGCAGGGACACAGGCTGGACATGGGGCTTTGACTCTGGCCTCCATGTCCTGGACCTCAATGGCTGGAACTGCTGCTCTGGCTTTAATGGGTGCCACACTTCTAACAAGATCCCATTGGGCTTCCCATCAAGTTTTTCTTTCACTACCCCGGCCTTTATCAAATCAACCCACATCTGGGTCCTCAAGACCTTCACAGGGCCTTTTGCACCTCTCCATTCAGTGGTAGCCCATACTTCCTTCTGGGCTCTTATTGTTTCAACCTCCCCCAGATCTGCTAAGTATGAGTAGCCTCACTTATGGGATGCCCTATGTCGGGGGCAAGAATAGTCACTAGGGACCCAAAGAGAGAAGGGGGAGCTGTATGGAGCTCCAGATTTCTCATTCCTATAGAGAACACCTTCTCATCAGGGCCTTAGGGGTACATTTTATAGATGATATTTTTCATGCCCAATTCCCATACCTGCTGGAGCTCTGCATACATTTTCCAGCTAGTGGGTAAGGATGGTAAATCACCTTGATTATGCCAAACTGCCCTGATAGCAGCTGTCAGCCAATCCAGAAGCACCTGATTCCCTGAGGTGTGATGGGCACATTGCAGCCGCTGCCAGAGGGAAGGGTGAGTCACCAGGGAAGCCAGTCTACTCATTTCAGAGCCCAACATAACAATGTTTCCCAACCCCATATCCCAGAGACATAAAAGCCATGTAGGCAGAGGTTCTGATGGCTTCTGCCTATACCAGATGCTCGTGTCCACCAGCTCATCCTGCACATAGGGGCAGGGCATGGAGTGCTCCACAGCCTGGGGAGGGGTGGCTCCTCCCCCTGAGGAGCCTGTGGTTGTCCCATTTTTATTTTTTTATTTACAACGAGGCAGGCCTTTAATATGGGAGAGGCTGGTGCCTTCCACAGTGGCCTCGGCAACCGATTGGCCCTCAGCCCCACCCCCACCCTCTCCCGACACCTCTCTACCACCTACGGGTCTGCAGGCACCGCTCTTTCCTCCCCCTCCCCTATGGCCTCCTGCAATGCAGACTCTCTGGCTGCCTCTCCCATCACTGCTGCTAAGGAATCTTCCAGGAGCGTGACCCATCTTCTCAGTAACTGTCTCTCTTCCTTAAGGGCATCCCATAGGTCATCACCCAGCTCCTCCAAGCAATGCTGACGTGTGTCTCTCTACGGCCAAAGTCTCTCTCTCTCTCTCCTTGATAACTCTCTCTCTCTTCTCAATAACATTTTCCACTATCTCGAGGAAAAGGGACCCTACAATACCAGCTGCTGCACAGCCACGCAGGCCCTCTGAGCAGCCTTCTATCTCACGGAGGGCTAATTCAGCAGCTTCTGGTGTCGCCACCTTCCCCAGTTATGGGGAAGGCTCCACCCTTCTAGGAGGTGCTCTAACCAGACCAATTCCCCACTAGGGGCTCCCCAGGTGGAAGCCCCACAGGTAGCTCTACTATCCTCTACTGCTGCAGCCACTGGGGCTTCCCCACCATCCACAGTGGGGGTTCTGGGCATCTCCCCACCATCCCTAGGGGCAGCCCTCCCAGGTCACACCTTGTGTAGACATATTTTGGGTTCAGAGGTCCTGCCAACTACCAACAGCTTTAATTCCAGGGGAAAATTCCCAGACAAAATAGCTTTGAAACTGAAATCAGTCCAAGGGAGAAATAAAGTGGGAGAAACCCATTTATTTCTTACAGGCAGTCCACTTCTGCTCCCCCATGTCTCTTTTGACCCAGCTGCAGAAGAAAAGGCCCCCACCCAACATCTCCACTCCAGATAAGCCCTCAGCACGCCCTTGTAATTACCTATTCATATGGAGATGGCTTACTCCTCTGAACCCCCTGGAAACTCCTATTGTATAGAAATGTACTAAAGCAAGAGGAGAAATTCTGAAAATATTGCAGTTTCACTCACAAAATGAAAGTAGTTTACAAACAGATTGAACTCTGAATCAAGGGGCTTTTCAATCCTGAGTGCTATAACTGTTTTTCCACATTCCCAGTTGGTGTCATGGCCAAAGCATATATGCTCCTTGCTTACTTTTGAATGTTAGAAGACTCTTATGTTCATGTATGAAAATACATCAAGGAAATCCCCTTCACTTCCCACCTAAACTCTTGTATCCCTTATATAATATCAGGCGGTCTGGATAGACAAGGGGCCCCAAGAAAGTCCGGCCAAAGCAGTCTGACACAGATGAACCTAGGAGGTCCCTTAACTATGCAAAGTATGTGTGTGGAGGTTACCTCCAGAATCCAGAAAGAAGCCCACCAAAACATCCTGTTACACCTAAATCTGCGTAGATAAAAAAACATTTTGTAGAAAATTTGCAGTCACGTTAGATTTCAACCATTGACAAAGACACATAATACATCTTCTTGGAAGGAGATGAGTCACATGCAAAGTGAAGCCTGTCAAACGGAGATGTCGGATGTCTTCAGGCCCTTCGGGGATTTTCCTGAGGGTCTCACACATTGATTGGGGAGAGGTACGGTGGGGTGAGCATACTTTTCATCAGGAGCTAAACTGTCCCGTTGAATGGTCACTGTGTGTGCCCATTACTTTCTTAAAAATGAAACTATTAAAGAATCCTTAAATGAGGTAAGGAACACCAGTGGGTAAAAAGGCTGAGCGGAGTGATCAAGCTTTGAATTTGGTCCTGAAGCACTGAGAATCTCTTAAAGGAGGAAGGCATTCCACAAGATGGTCAGACCATGAATAAGGGTGTATGTACAAGGGGGGAAAATGTCTAGAAGACCATGCTCAAAAACAAAAAGGGCAGGTGCCCCCTGGTACTGTGTGGGGTGAGTGCTCTCCCACAACCATGCAGCCCAGGCTGGCCCTGAATGTCCTAAGTTGCTGACCTTCCTTCTTTTCCCTTTCCTCCAGCACCTCTCCTGAAACCAACCATGAGCCAGTCCTCCTCCTCCAGATCGCCTGCCCCAAATGATCATGATTTGGCCTTCAACTTTGACATGTTTTTTAAGGCATTCAAGTTAGAAAGGAAAATCCTCTCTCAGGAAACAATCAATTTGATTCATTCATGCCTGATGATTGGGAACCTTCAGACAGCAGTTGATATCATCACTGAGGCACTGAGAGAGATCGAGAATGCTCCACTGAGCATTGCTGTGACTGGGGAGACTGGGTCAGGGAAGTCCAGTTTCATCAATGCCCTGAGGGGTATTGGGCATGAGGGAGAAGGTGCAGCCCCCACTGGGGTGGTGGAGACCACCATGGAGAGACTTCCATACAAACACCCAAAGTTTCCAAATGTGACATTCTGGGACCTGCCTGGCATTGGTTCCACTACCTTTACACCAGAGACATATCTGAAGAAACTGAACTTTGGTGAGTATGACTTCTTTATTATTACCTCTGATACACGCTTCAGGGAAAATGATGCACAGCTGGCCAAAGCAATTGGAAAAACAGGGAAGAATTTCTACTTTGTTCGAACAAAAGTGGACAACGATATACATAATGAACGAAGAAGTAAACCTCAGACCTTCGACCAGGAGAGAATCCTACAAATGATTCGCAAGAAATGTCAGGGAAAACTACAGGAGGACAATGTGAGTCACCCTCGGGTCTTCTTGGTCTCCAACATTGATGTGTCTGACTATGATTTCCCAAACCTGGAGATGACACTTCTGAGGGAACTCCCAGCCCAGAAGCGCCACATCTTCATGCTCTCCCTGCCCAGTGTCACTGAGGCCGCCATTGACCTGAAGAGGGACTCCCTGAGGCAGAAGGTGTGGCTGGAGGCACTGAAGGCTGGATTCCTGGCCACCATCCCTTTTGTGGGTGTGATCAGTGATCTGGAGAAGCTGGAGGAGACCTTAACCCTGTACCGGTCTTACTTTGGCCTGGATGATGCATCCCTGGAAATCATGGCCAAGGATTTGCATGTGTCAGTGGAGAAACTCAAGTCACACATTAAGTCTCCACATTTGCTGTCTGTTGAGAAGGATAAAGATTCCCTAACGAAAAAACTGTTGAAATGTATTGAAATGGTTTTGTCAGCCATGGGGGGGCCCCTTGCCACTGGACTGTACTTTTCAAAGACCTTCTATTTGCAAAATTGCTTTCTTGATACTGTGGCTAGTGATGCTAAAGCTCTCCTTAAAAAAGAGCTTTTCACAGAAAAGACCAGTCTTTCCTAGTTTTACACCTATGTATGTTGGGAGAGAAATTGGGACGATGAGGCCCAGACCCCCTGCATCCTTGGTCCCAGCAGCTGGCTTCATGGTAGAGAGTTCCTCCAGGCAAGCCTGGTGCTTCTGTGCCATTTCAGGCCTCCTGAGCTTTCCATGCTCCCAGCCCTGGATTAACCTCTTCCTTTAGTACCTTTCATGACAAAATGTTGGATTAACTGTAAAGGCTTGCTCAAAATCTCCCTATGGAAATAAAGGAAGGGAGTCTGGCATTCTAGACTGAGAAATGAGACCATCTCAGTGGCCCAGCTACTTTGTGTCCAGGGCTAGACTTATTAACATTATACTAATGTCAAATTGCTTATCTCAATGCCTGGCACCCAGTAGGTGCTCTATAAATGTTTGATGAATGGTCCTATCCCATGCTTAGTAGTCATTCCCGACCTGCCCCTCTGATGGATCCTCTGTCTCCTTCCAGAGCCAATTGTCTTGTCTGACAAGCCTCTGCAATGTAACAATAAAGAACACAGTAGTATAAGCCCTGACAGTTGTTTTCCTTTTTTTAATTAAAGTGTCTGACTTAAGCTTTGGTTGTCATATCATCCATTTCAAAGATGGGTAGCTCACATTGACACATGGCCAACATGTGCCTTGAGGCTCCTTTGTTTTAAAGATCTTGGTTGATTTCAGTAACTGACTGTTTGGGCCATTTGTTCATTGTGTTCCCACACTTTTAAATTCACCAGCAGAGAGTGAGCTGTGAAAGCCTAGGCCCAACACCTGGACCTCAAGAAAAGCAGAACCCAAACTCCCTGCTCTCTCTGTCCCTCTCTCTCTACCTGAGACCTTACTGTGTGGCCACAGGTGTGCTATGCAATTTGCAAGTTTGAAGTAAAGTCTTTTAATTTTTTCAAGTTTCCTTGCTCACCTGACATTGCAAAATAAGAAGTCTCCCTGGCTGGTTGGGAGAACCCACAGTGGTGTCTATCCTCACAGCAAAATGGGCATAGATTATAGGATGTTAGAAAAGGTAAGAAAGAACCTGTTCCAGATAATAGTACTAGTTATGCAAATTTTAAATAAAAACACAAACTAAAGCACAGACTTTTCAAGGATAAAAATGAATTCAACAATATGTATCCAAGAAGAAAAATGCCAGTACATGGAATAGAGCCAGAAGAGGGGACAGAACAGGAATGAGATTCACTAATGAGCTAAGACTAAAATCAAGTGATCTGTACACAAAACAAAGACAGTGCTGAGCCATGATCTAGAGAGCAGGGCCTGTTCAACCTTCTGCATGGCAAGACCCAGAAAAGGAAATCATTTTCTCAAGTTAGAAAAAGATAAGTTTTAAACGAAAAAGGGAAAGGGTTCTCAGGGGCTGTGATCTGTGGTGGCTGCACCTACACCCCAGGACCTGGGAGGACTCCACTGCAACGTGGCCAGTTGGACTGTCAACTGCTGAGCTGGCTAGACCTGAGCCCAGAAGCCAGAGCACGTGGGGTTTCCTCCAGCATTCTCACAAAGGGTATTCCCACTGACCACCCCCTTGCTACCCCAGGCCCTGTCCAAAGTAAGGGCTGCTTTGGGCATAAAATGCTCCTTTGGTGTCATATCTGGTGACCCACATTCACAGCTCTCCTTTGCCCTGACTCCTCGCTTGTCTTGTTCTCAAACTTCCTCCCTAGAAATTCCTCATGATTTTCTGCATGTTAGTTCTACCCTCGTGGGGCTAGTGGGTGTTGAGGGAGGGACCGTGGTGCAGCAAACAGAATACAAACATCAGGAACATACAACAAGACAGGAACCCCATTCTAGTTCCCAGCCTAGCACTGGCTAGATGTGACCTCTGCAGCCCTGGGAGAGGGGGACATGGAGAGCATGGAGCCCACGGGACAAAGGGGAAGAGGGAGGAAAGATCACACAGGAGACCAGTAGGGGCTGCCGTGGTGCCAGACGCCCAGCACCCAGCAGAAGGGCCTGGGCAGAGTCAGACATCCTTCCCCACAATCACCAAGCCATTACAGGGCCCCCAAGTGCTGAGCAGGACAGGAGGGCACAGGGGCCCTGAGAAGTGGGATTATGTCCTGCCGCACCACCAGTCTCCTGCTCCCCTCACTCCTCCAGGACTGCAGGTGAGAACAGAGGGTGCTCCCTGCTCTCCACGGAGGTCCAGGTCCAGGAGGCAGAAACAACCACCTATAAGTCACTGTTGTCAGTGGTTAAGAAGCTTATGCCTTTATTCTCATTGTGCTGCCCTCACAGCTCACATTTCTAATCAAAAGCATACATGTGAACTTTTCTGCCCTTCTGTTGTTTAAAGCCTGACTGGGCATTATAAATAAGGAAATAGCTCATTATTCCAGTGAACAGGGCCTGGACATGTTCCTGCCAAAGACATCAGATCCACCTCCACCTCATCTGGCAGCTTCTGAAGGACGCACAATCGTGAACCCTTGACATCCTCCGGATCAACTCTGTACAGAGACGGCAGCTGCCCAAGGCCCCATCAGTGAGCAGCATTCCAGCTGGGACTCTCTACTCCTCGTTTTCTAAAGTAAAACCACCAGTGATAATGGAGATGCTGCATTTCTCTTGATCTGGAAAGAGGGGGCCACACGCAGGACCTTGTGGCTGTGGGGTCCTTAGGGAAGACACGTGCCTGGATCAGCCTTGGGATCCGCAGGAGGGCACATCGGTGTTGCTCGGAGCATGGTACCCAACCAGCAGCATGGACTGGTTAGAAATCAGACTCTGGGCCCACCTCAGAGCTCCTGAGATGCACATGGCTCCAGCAACCTGTGTTTTGGAGCCCCCACACAGCCCTAATTTTAAAACCACTGTTGCAGAGGTGGTACAGTCAAGGGTGAATGGAGTTTTCTCATCATCTATGGATAGACGATTAAAAGATAGAAACACTCCCTGAAGGGAAACATCAGAGTCAGCTCATGGCTGTTGCCTCAGGGCCCCAGGATGGCACTGGGCACAATGAAAAATAGCAAACTGGCTGTGCCCCCTCCATTCCAAGGCTCTGCCAGCTACTCATACCCACACCCCTGTAGCTCTGCTCAGGATCTCAGTCCCCACCCTGTCCTCCAGGCCTGCATCCCCCTCAGGAAGGGCCCTCTTCCTCATCTACATGGAGATGCAGAAGGGTGAGGGTTCTTGGCTCCTGGGAGGTGGACAGGGAACCCAGGTCAGGAACCCTGGAATCATCCTGCCGACTCTGGGTCCTTTATGCAGCCATGTGACTTTTAGAATCAGTGTGGCAATGTGCACTGAGAAACCAGATCGCCTACCCAGAGCAGGTAAGTCCACAGAGACAGAATGCAGCTCAAACTGCATCCTAGGGAGGATATGCTGCAGCCCAGCCCCAGTGCCTGTGAACACAGCTCGTGAGAGGGTCTCTGAAGATGTACTGAATCAGGGTGACCCCTAAGCCGTGGCTGGTGTCCCTGTGAAAGGAGAAAAAGAGTCACGGAGGGAAGGCGGCCACGTGAAGACAGCAGGGGGCAGACACGAGGGTGAAGCCACTGCATACCGAGGAGTGCCTCTGCTGGGGAGCAGGAAGCTGGGAGGAGGGTGTCCCAGGGCCTTTGGAGGGATCGAGGGCCTGCCAACGCTTTAATTTCAGGCCCCTGGTTCTTAGGGCTGTAGGGGTAGAGCTCCTGTTGCTTTAGGCCACCAGGTCATGGTTTTCTGTTACAGCCCACGTAGGAAACATCCAGGTGTCACCAGACTCAGGGCCCAAAACCCGGGGAGGGGGAAATATGATCAGCAGCTTACTGCAGATGATGAATGTGTTTTGGAATGTTTCTCAAATTTCCATTCCAGTGCAATATTTGGAAGTAGAGGCTGACAACACTGACTGCACTAAGTACCCATCCACTGGTCATTTTAAAATGGTCAATTCTGAATATATGCTAAGGACAAGCTGGTGGTTGCTGGAGGGGAAGGGGTGTGGAGATGGGTGAAATAGGTGAAAGGATGAAGAGGGATAAACTTCCAATTATAAAATAAAAAAGAGATGAAAAGTGCAGCATAGGGAACAGAGTCCATAACACTGCAATAACCCTGTACAGTGACAGATGGTCGGCATTTCATAAAGTACGTAATTGTCCAGTCACTATGCTGTACGTGAGGAACTAATGTATATGTCAACTATTGCTCAAGTGAAAAAAAAACAAGGAAAAGCAAAACAGAAAATGGTACATTACGTTATGTGGTTATCACCTCAATTTTTCCATTTTAAATAAGTAGATTAGATGGATAAATAAATGAGTACATACATACTCCAGGGGTTCTGACTGAAGTTCAGTTGAATCCATAGAATAATTGAGACCTGACAGCTACAACAGGGAAGCTTCTGATCTGTGAATATTGCATAAGTCTTTTTTACATAACAGCTTTAATATCTAATAAAAATATTTTCTGTAAAAAGTGTTTTAGAGATGTTTTCTATAGTTTCCATATACATAATCAAGGAAACACATAAATTATTTTTTCCTCTGAAAGAAGTACCATAATAGACATCCATTTTCACTAAACCATCTATTGAGATCTTTCCATATCAGTACCTAAGAGCGTTCTCACATTTCATGCTAAATGGTTGTCTTTGTACACAGATACACCATCACATGGGCAGCCAGCTCCCAGAGATGGACTGTGGGTTGGTTTCCATCCACAGTGAAGCTGCAATAAACAATGCTGCACATAACCCACCCTGCAAATGCGCAAGTCCTTGTGAGCAGCCAGCTCCGACTCCCCACTCCTCCTTTACCCTGGAGTGTGGGCCACAAACCTTACGAGGGGCAGGGGCTCAGGAAACAGGGTTTGGCTCTGGAAGAGGTTTCCCCTGATCAAGCCCCTCATTGTCCAGCTTGTGGGAGTGGGGACTCCAGCGTCCAGCCCTCCAGTCTGTCCCTCACCCTACCCTTTTTCCACAGTCCACTTCCAGTTCCTCATCAGCACAGGTGCACCCACACACATGCTTGCACTCACACATATGCACACTCACAGTCATGCACACACACGCACACACTCGCAGTCATGCACACGCACACTTGCAGTTGTGCAGTCACACATGCACATTCACCAAGATGAAGAAGAAACCATTTTCACGTGCTGAGCTCTTGGCTCCTTAGCTCAGGACATCATGCTTTGATGGCTACTAGACAGGGAAGAGCTAGCCCAGGACCTAGAGCATGTGGATCCTGGTCTGGGAAATTCTCCAGACCCCAACTCACCTGCCAGGATGAATGGCAGGGGGGCCGTGTCCCAGGGGAAGAGCTGATTCCACCTGCCTGGGGACACTTCCAGGCCTGTGGGATGCTCTGGGCAGCCTGGGGATGGAGGGTGAGAGGTAGGGGTCTGGGAGCGCAGTGAGGCCTGGGCCAGCCCCTGGGGCCCGGCTCACTGTCCCACCCTCCCCAGAGCCACCCTGTGCCCTTCTCCAGCTAGAGGTGCCTAGAGCTGATGGTGGAGGAAGCAACTGCAGAAGCAGTGAGGAGGTGAGGTGGACCAGGAGGAAGTGCTGGACCTT